TGCCGGAATCTAGCAAGTATGGGTGGGTGGGGGTATTTTTGTTAATTTTTAAATTTGTTTATGGGGGTATTTAATGAAATTAATAAACTTAAAGGGTCTAAAATTAATTAAAAAAATATACTAATATTTATCAAATAATGTGCCAAACAAGTATTTTGGGAATATGATTGGGAATATGGGTAAAAATAATGTGCCAAACGAACCCTAAGCTATTATTTAATATTTTCAAAATATGAAAACGTGTTAAAAAGAACCTGGAAATATACCAGTAAAATACAATACTATAAATTTTTAATTTTATTATTGTTTAAATTTGTCCATATTAAATTGAATTTCCAACTAAACAACCTATTTTAGTGCCATGATTATTGTTACAAATATCACATCGATTTAATCCAATAGGCATAGTTACTTTAGTGTATATATCTTGGAAAAGAGATAATAAATTGAGTTCTATACATTCTTCAATGAGACAAGTCCATGCATACCGTCCAACCATTTGACACGTATAATTATACTAATTATAAAAGAGAAATTAAAAAAAAAAATCCCAATTTAAACTAAGAATAGAACCTTAGCAACTTGATGCTAAAAGGGTGCCAAAGCTGCTTGTAGAATATAAGCTAAAGTTTAGAAACATGGCATGTGAGGTGAGACCCAATTCATTCATTTATGCCCCAACTTTTATTATAAATTCAACATTCACATGGATTTTTAATGCACAAATTTAGTTACCATTTCTAATCATCCATAAGTTGGGATTTGACATCTCGCCTATATCTCATAAATATAGTAACATTGTGCCATTTTTTTTTTTTTTTTTCATATATGAGAAGATTTGGGTGCAAAGGGGTCCAACAGTGGTTCAATTGGGTTCCTGAGTTGGAATCTCTCATAGATACTAATAAGGATAGTTATCGAGGAGATTTACCTGATTGTTCAATTCAGGACTCCAGAGGATTAGTTGAGGTGTGCGTAAGTTGGCTCAGACACCTCCGGTCACAAAAAAAAAAAAAAAAAAAAGATTTGGGTGTATTTGGAATTCAATATTAATGAAATTTAGCATTTTACCCGAATATTAAAAAAAAAAAATGATCTCTTAAAATGAATTTTGATTGAATTTTTTTTTTTTTATAATTACACTAATATATTCATCCAAAATTAAAAAATATAATTAAATTTTACGTAAAAACTATTAAATCTTTAAGTGTTTCGGCGATTTTTAAAAACTATTATACACTCCTATAATAAAGGGAGTTTTTTTGATACATTTACAAAAATGGTTTTTATAATCTCGATTTTTTTTTTAATTTTATGAATTTTTAATAATTTCCAAGATATTTAGTAATTTTTAAAAATAATTAGATTTTTTTGGACTTACCGTTCTTCAAGGGTGGAAAAAATTGAACTTAATTAAATAAATGCTTTAATAAATCTAATAAAACATTTAACACCTATTGAATAAATGATAATTGGACCCACAAATCAATGAGGAAGTTTCGGAACAGAAACAAATCTAAGGATTTTGACTTCAAAACAAAGTACTTTATACTATGAACAAATGGAATTTGGGTGGAAAGAATATCAATTAGGTCCATACAATATTTACATATCTATTCAACCCCTTTTTTTACCTCCACTTTATTATATCATTCACCCTACGTATCAATTATTATATATCATTTTATTTCTTCTTTTTCTAAATTAGAAAAATCTACAAGACCCCTTAAGGTTTGTTATATGGCAAAGTTACCCTTATCATTTCAATAACATCACAAATTTCTCTTGAAATTTATCATTCATATCAAATTAGCATTGTTAATGTTTTGTTAAGATTTTGATGATTAATTTAACAATTAAATGTAAAACATGTTATTTTGATGACAAAAACCTTAATAGAAAAGTGACAATAGAGAGTAAAAAAGAGAGAAACTGTTAATTAATGATATCTTGTGGAGATATATGAACTCAATCTTTATATTTATAAAAATGATGTGGGAAAATATATATTAACTCAATTTCATATTTAGAAAATTTTATGGATGAATAGTATAATAAATATAAAGGGGTTTAAGTGATATTTACCAGTCATTAATACGCCACTTAATAAAGCGAAAAGAGGAAGAGAAGAGAGTAACAACCACGTGTAGAAACAACTAACAAGCAAAGCAAAGGAGGTGTTCCAACGGCAAAAGCCAAAGCATAAAATTATAAACAAATCCACAAACCGAGCAAGATGTGCTTTATCAAAATGCATACGTAACATATAAATTATCTTTATTGGGGTAAAATATTATTTCACTTCGATAAGATGAATCAATATTATTCCGATGAAATTAATAGTAAAACGTCTTAATTAGAGAATTATATATATGGTATATGAACTTTTTGTATATGTAACTTTTTTTTTGGGGGGGGGGGGGGGGGGGGGGGGGGGGGGGGGGGGGCGGGGGGGGGGGGGATGATCGGAGGTGTCAGGGTCGACTTATGTGTAAATCAATTAATCCCTTAAGACCCTAAAACTATCAACTGGATAAGAGCTCCAGTGGTTACTCCTAGTGGCAACTGTGGGGACTTGAACTCGAAAAACTATGTTAAATTATTTTCTTGCTCTTTTACCTTCTAGAGGACTTGAACTTGGGAGACTATGTTTGATCATTTTCTTGGAAGACCTTGTTAGATCCTCCTCTTATTCTTTTACCATCAAAGGGACTCAAACTTGAGAGACCGTGTTAGATCCTCTTTTACTTTTTTACTATCATACCACCTAGTGGTGGTTTATGCAAAAATATTCATTTACCACAAATGCACATTATTGAAAAAATAGTCTTCAAGGACTTAGCAATGGTGTCGGAGAAGATGATACATTGTTAAAAACAGGATTCTTTGACGCCAAACACGACATCATTCCTAAGCTAGGAAAAGCAGGTCAAGAAAACAGTTTATTGGATTCATATCAACATTGTTGGAGAATTATTTTAATATTAGCCATTTCTTGTGTTAGGGTTCATCTACATTATGAAGATGTATAACGTTATCCATGATATGAACTTTTTGTTATGTATATATATTGTAACCGAGATGTTCAGGCTAGTTTGCACGCACCTCAACTAATCCCCAAGGTCTATTGACTACCCTATAAGCTCAAAGGATCAAGGTACGTCATAATGTTATGGTGGTAAGTGACTCTAAGGTTTGAACCCAATAACTCAAGGAAGGGAGCAAATCTTCTTGACTGCCAGACTAACCCCTTGAGGTTAAAATTATAGTATAAACATATATTCACATCACGTAAAAGGGTTTATAAGGATGTTATATATGTACATCTCTAGCGAAAAGAGTTTAAGATTTAATTTATAATGAAGGATCTGGGTCTCATAAATAAATGGATATGTTTTGAGTAAAGAATGTTTGCGTGCAACTTAAAAACAAAATCAACAATCTATCCATTTTCTTTTCTCTACAAAAATACCATCCAATTTTATCGGCTTGACATATACAATGCAATCCAGTGATAAAACTTGAGTAACTTGAAGACATAGTCATTGTCAATTTGTCATAACCTAAGGAATAATACTATACCAATAACCATTTCTCACAAACTTTCTCTCACAACCTTGACGTAACAACTCGCAATTAATTAGTAAGAGTTATGTGGGACCTGTTGTGAACTGATCAATTGCGAGCTGCCACGTCAGGGTTGTGAGAGAAAGTTGGTGAGAGAGGGTTGTTGGTGTAGTATTATACTAACCTAAGACTTTTGTTTTTTCATGTTCATAAACTTGAAGACATAATCATTTTTATAAACAACCCTTATGATTAGCCCAATGTTTTTATATAATAATAAAATTATTTACTTCATAGATTAAAAAAAAAAAAAAAAAACTCTCAGGTTATTAGAGAAAGGAGCATGGAATCCAGTTCATAAAAGCTTCGGTTCCCATAACTAAATGGTCTTATTTGACACGGCCTATTCAAGTAGAACTTATAAAAGAAGAGTTTATTAGAGAATGATTCATGAAAATATAACTTTTACGAAAAAGTTGAATGAATAGATAAAACCCAACCAAAAGGGTCTAAATAGAGTCAATATAAAATGTTTGTGTGAAATAAAAGGGAGAAGGACATTTTCCCACCCAAGGTTTGGCAAAACGACACTTTCCCACCCGTTAAGTTTCAAAATGATACTTTCTCACATTTCGTTAGGTTCTGCTAGTATTCTCTATTAATATTTAATCAAAATAGCGAAAATACCCTTAAATAGTTTATTATAAATTAAAATTTAGTTAAGCTAAAATTTTTACTCAATTATTTATTAGTTTAAATATAAAGATATATTTTTTCCTTTGTTTATTTAATTAATTATGAATATTGATTTTCTATATTAATTAGTAAAATGAAAATCATTATATTATGAAAAACATTATAAATTTAGTAGATTATTGAATAATAATAATGAGATATTGATGACCTTATAAATAAATAAATAAATATTAAGGTCATTTAATTTTAAACAATTTTATAACATTATTCCTAAGTTTTTAGGTGGGGTTAATTATTTTTTCTTTTTTGACTTTTTAATAGTTGATTTTTTGGTTAATTAAAAAATAATGAAAAATTTATAAAGTCAAATATTTAAGGGTATTGTCGTCTTTTTAATAAAATATTAATGAAAAACATAATAGAACCTAACAAAGGGTGAGACAGTGTCACTTTGAAACTTGAAGGGTGGGAAGTTTATTTCACCAAACCTTGGGTGGGAAAATGTCGTTCTCGTTCTCCCGAAATAAAAAGCAAATTTTGCGGATCTGGCCGAGGCGTGACACAATATTTTACCTCAGTCCATCTGTAATTTTTTATGAAAAGAATTTAAAATTTTTGATTTTGACTTGAAGACATCGTTGTCACGGCCTAAGACTTTTGTCATGTCTGTATCGTGTCGTATACAAATCTAAGAAGCCCAATGTACAAGAAGGAGATTTACTAAAAATACTCGACGACATAATATACATTCATTACATTTTACCACAACACAAAAATTTCTGTTGTCTGCCGTTGAAAACGCGCTTAGTCGTTTATTTTCTTTCTTTGAATCTTTTCCTTTCATGGGTTTGCCTTCTTCTTCCCAATAACCCCACAAAAAAAAGGAGCAAAAAGGGCCTCAAAAACCCATTAAAAAGGATACAAATCTTGGCGGTGGAATGGGTTTGAGGCGGCTCCCAGTGGCTCTTGTTCTGGCGGTGGTTCTGTTGGTGGCTTGCGGTGGCGTTGGTGTTGCTGGGAACTATGTGTTTAAAGTTGAGAATAAATTTAAGTTGGGTGGCAAAGAGAGGAGCTTGAGTGCTCTTAAGGAACATGATTCTCTTCGCCATGGAAGAGTTTTGGCAGCCGTTGATGTTCCTTTGGGGGGCAATGGCCACCCCTCTGCAACTGGGTATGTTTTTGTAATGTATTTAGATTGTTTTATGTGTTTACTTGTTTGTAAAGGTTGATTCTTTGATGGATTTGATTTTGAAGATTTAGTTTTGGTTATTCTGTGGGTAACGTGTTTGTATATTTGTATATGTTTTTATGTTTTTGTGGTTGATTTCAGCTGGATTTGGTTTAGAAATATCCTAATTATGCTAATCTTTGAGGGTAATTACCTTTAATAAGTTAGTAAATATATTCTTTCGTTAGCTCGTTTAGTTGTTTATGTAATTTTTATGATTGATTTCAGCTGGATTTGGATTAGAAAGATGTTGTTTATGTTTGTCTTTAAGGGTAGTTAACCTTAATAAGTTTGCATATGAATTCTTTTTGCCATCTTGTTTATTTGTTTATATAATTTTTATGATTGTTTTCAAATAGATTTGGTGTAGAATGATGTTAGATTATGCTTAAGGGCAATTACTTTTAATAATTCCGAGGGGTTAGTCGATTGCTTAGGCATTTGGTTTGTTCCACCAAGATAGAGTTTGGTTCCTCTTCAGGTCCATCTAGGATCTAGCTGCAAATATGAGTTTCATTTTTTTCAAAAATTTTAAAGGCTTTGCTGGGTTGCTGGGGGTGTGTTTTGAACTTGTGTTTGCTAAATGGGTTGGAGAATTCTTTCTCATCCGAGAAAGCCCTTAATTATCCTTATGGTTTGTATTGATGAAATATTTTTGGGTGTAATGTATATGTCCGACTTAGATGCGATAGCTCTATCCTTACAACTGTATGATTTTTTTTGTTTATATGCATACTTCTTTGCATTTATGTTCTCTGTTTTAGAAGAAATAATGTTTATTGATGTTAGAGGTGCATTTGTGCATGTTTTTCTAATTCTTCTGCTTTGTGTAAGCGGTTGACTTGGTACATTCATTTAAAAAAGAGCTTCTGTCTCAATTTCATGATGTTTTCAGTTGGTTTGTTGGAATTGTTTCAAACTTATGAGTATCTTGTCATGTCGTCATTGAGGTAAAAAGTTGCTAAGTGTCAGCCCAATAAATATTATGGGTGTTTGACGGCAAAAATATAAAACTAATAGTGTTGTTTTTGGCGTTATAATATGTGTTGTTACAATTGTAAGCGTTCTTCCTGCAAACAAACATATGCATGTGTAGTGTGTTTCAGGTACTAATATTGTTCAGTCTGTTTATTGATTAGGCTTTATTTTACTAAAATTGGTCTGGGAACTCCATCAAAGGACTATTACGTGCAAGTTGATACGGGAAGTGATCTTTTATGGGTGAATTGTGTTGGCTGCGATAGGTGTCCCACAAAAAGTGACCTTGGTGTATGCTTCCTCAACTGAACTTTTTTATCCACATTTGGGTCAAATGTGTCATATTAACGCATATTAACTTTAAGCATTAATTGTTATCGTACTTGGTCTTTTGAATTCTGGTGAACTTTTATTTCTAAGATATATGTCAATGTGATCTTGTTCTGCAGATAAAACTGACTCTATTCGATCCAGCGAAATCTAAAACTTCAGGTCAGGTTAATTGTGGTGATGTTTTTTGCGTTGACCAGTACGGTGGTCAACTCTCTGGTTGCAAGCCTGGGGTGCGCTGCCAATATTCTGTTGCTTATGGAGATGGAAGTGCTACTTCTGGAGACTTTGTGAAGGATGTTATTCAGCTAGAACAAGCAAGTGGAAACCATGAAACTTCACCATTAAATGCAAGTGTAATATTTGGGTGAGTCAGTGTTTTCAATATTATGATATTTATTGTCTCTCTCTTTAAACTGGGAGGCTTTGGTGTATGAATGTGTAAAATGGTTTTATAATGATGTTCATCTGTTGTGGCCTAGGACTGTAGTTCAATCAACTAGAGGTTATGTTGTGCAGGGAACTCATTTCATATACAACAACATATTCTATTCTCTAACATTTCAGTCACAATGGTGTCATGTTTTTTATGTAAGATACAAATTTCTTGAATTGTTTCCTCACAAACTTAATCATGCTCTAAAAAGTTTCATCAACCTGAGCTTTGATGTAATCGTTTTTTCTCATGGACTCCATGAAGGCCCCTAGTCCTTGACTCATGGTACATTTTGAATAAAAAAGGAAATTGGGATATTATTTTCCGGAGACCCTTAAAGTAGAAAAGTTCTTTTCACAACTTTAAAATATAGATCGTTATCGATTGATTGATGTGGAATCTGTCTAGTTTGACAATGTCAATTCTAAATCCAAGCAGTAGGTGCATTTTATGAGACACAGAATAAGATTATATCTCAGTCGTGAATAATTTTCTAGTATCTTGTTTTCTCTTCTTACTTCTTTGATGGTGTTGCATTTATTCGGTTAATCTCATTGATAATTATAATTCGGTTTTTTTCTTTTTCTTCAATATTATATTCATTTTCCCCTCTCCGTATCCCATTAAATTACATGTTTTTATGTTAGGGCCAAACGGTTTCAACTTTTGAGAGCTGTTCTCTGGCTTTCGTATGTGCTTGAGAATCTTGTTTTTCCAGTTAAATAAACTATGGTTATAATAGTAAATATAACAAAAGTTCCTTTTGCTGGATAGCTGCGGCAATAAACAAACTGGGGACCTAGGTTCATCTTCTGAAGCAGCTGTAGATGGGATACTTGGATTTGGACAAGCAAATTCATCCATGCTTTCACAGCTGACTGCTGCTGGAAAAGTCAAAAAGGAGTTTGCACACTGCTTGGATGTTGTAAAAGGAGGTGGAATCTTCGCCATTGGAGATATTGTGCAACCAGTTGTTAAAACAACTCCATTAGTAGCAAATATGTATGCGAATCTAACTTAACTTTCTTCATTTGGGTGCTATTTATTGTTTTTATGAATGATAGCTTGTTATCCATACAGGTATGGGAAAAAGGACTAGGATATTTTTATGTTTTAGTTAAAAAGAGTTGACACAAAACGTTGTCTTACATATTATAGGCACCTTATATTTTAGTCATTTATGCCGATTGATGATATTGAATTAATGGAGTTTGTACATGTCTTGGACTGTGCATCGTAGTATATTCGAACCTGTGCTGGTGGGATGTTTACTGTTCAGCACATTGTACTTAAGGAAAATCTTAATACGATATGTGCAATTCGAGGTGACATTTATTGATGCTTATTCTCTATTGTATGAATCGTGATCATTCAGAACGTAAAACACTGTTTCTAAAAATGGAGCTTCTGATTTACTTGCTTATCATGGATCACTTCTAATTCAAGAAAAGGGAGCTTTCTCCTCCTGAAAAATTTACAAAAGAAAACATTAAGTACAAGTGATATGCAAGACCTTTCATGGCACATATCTGTTATTGAATATATTGTATTACTCTGATTTCATCCTTATATTTTAGTTTAAGCCATTGTTATGAGTACATGAGGTTTGGATTAGGATTTGTAGAACTTTTGGTTATATTTGCTTTACTTGTGTTTTCACTTTCATTGAGTTCTGGTTTAAAGCTTCGGTTTCTATATCCTTGATCAGGGGATCTTGGTTCAGTGATTTTTCATAGTGATAGTTCTGTCAACAATTTCAGGCCTCATTACAATGTTAAACTGACGGCAATTGAGGTGGGTGGTACTATGTTAGATCTGCCAACATATTTATTTGACACTGGAAGTCAGAGAGGAACAATAATAGACAGTGGTACAACTTTGGCATATCTTCCATCGGTGGTCTATGAACCAATGATGGATAAGGTACGTGAAACTTTCTACCACTTACAAATTCTAATTTTTTTCATGAATATGTTAATAACATAATATCTTTTCTATAGTTTAGATTTTGGCTAAGCAGCCTGGATTGAAAATGCACACTATTGAGGATCAGTTTTCTTGTTTTGAGTTCACCCGAAAGTAAGTATTTTCTGTTTCTAGCAATGCTTAGTATTGCTGTTTTGTCTTTGACGCCATCATTGTTGCATTTGTGGTGCTTATTGTTACAATATTTTGCTCTTGGGCTTGTCTAAATGCATTGAACTACTGAATTGGTGTTGCATCGTCAGTTTTTGAGTAGTACTTCAATGTTCTTACTGAGATCTTCCTCATTTTGTTTCTTTGCACAATTATGGCAGTGTTGACGATGCTTTTCCACCAGTTGTTTTCCATTTTGATGGTTCTCTTACTTTGACGGCTTACCCTCATGATTATTTCTTCAAAATTCGTGTAAGTAAAGTTTTTTTTTTTATAATTTTAGTGAGAATCTTCATGTGCTATGCTTGAATTTATGATCGGCTGTCAAGTTTCTTTCTCTTAAGTGCTTAAGATTGAGCATGTATGTATTAAACTCATTATTCTTTAGAAATACTACATGGAAAGTAATATTCCGTTGATTTTGAAGAATAGTGTCTGAACTTTCAGTTTTTAATCTAGATATGTTAGTCCGGAGTTCCTGTTCTACTTTTCTAGATATCTTATTCTGAAATATTAACTCTTTCTCCTTTGTGTCAGTATACCTTAACTATGTAATTTTCTTCTTACTTGGCATCTTGGTAGTGTTTGGATTGGCATGCTTGTGTAATGGTTTATTTTGTAGTTAGTTAGTGCAGGAAGCACCAGGTATAGACCTTTGATGGTACTAATCAGGCTAATATCAGACAGAAATTGTAGATAAACTTAACCATCTAACTTGTGTTTGACTTGAATTATCTATTCAATCTATGTAATTCGTGAAAGAGTATTACTCACAATGGTGTCATTTTGATTCTTTGCTCTTCAATTTACTTTAATTGATATATGGAAATCCAATCTAGATATGAAATTTATTGTTTACTTGGCTTTCTCGAAAATAGGTATTTCACAATTTTGAAAAAACTGTTTGTTTATAGTGCATCCGTTTACCTAGATGCTCTTACATACATCAAATAATCTTCTGAATGACCTGCGCATGGTGTTCAATTTTGGAAGTTTTGCAAACCTTTTTGTGACTTTATTAATTGTGTTTGGCTCATAGAAGTTGTAAGAAGTCGCTGTTATCAGTGTTTTTGTAAGCTTCAAATCCGTGAACTAGTTCATAAAATTATTTTATAGATAATCTATTGACAGTCACCATTATCAACAAAAGATTGTTAATTCTGTTCTTCCAGTTGTAAGAAACAGAAAATTGCAAATTTTTTTTTGTAGGGAATTATCATTGTTATTTTTTTATCAATTTTTTCGGAGTGGTCTTTGTGCAGTTTTGTATCTTAATGAAGACTCCATCTTCAGAATTTTTATATTATTTTCAATGAGTGTTCCATTAATATACTGTTTTCATGACCTTCCACAGGAAAATATATGGTGTATTGGTTGGCAGAACGGTGGTCTTCAAAGTCGTGATGGGAGGGAGCTGATTTTATTGGGAGGTACCGTCTAGAATTGCTTATTGAAAAATTAATGTTTCCTTCTTGCTCAGTCAATGTAGGTAAAACATACCAAATTAGCCATCAATTAAGTTTAGCACACGATTATTGTTGTGGCTTTAATCCTTGAATCTTGATTGCTAAAGCTTACTGTTCAAATTAGACACTCATAATCTGCCATTATAATGCTTTAGGCAAGTTAAACATGAAGTTTCAAATCGTCAAAATACTTTGTTTATGATACTTGAGGGATAAGTAGTTCACCAATGAAATGATGCACTTAAATTACTGTCTCATTTACTTGTTATATAGGCTGTGCTGCACAATTTTTATTTGTGGTTAAGTTTTATACTTATGACTGACAATAAAATATAACTCTCCGGTCCTCGATGATAGATGATTTGACTAACAATGGATTATGTTACACAACGAAAGAGAAGTAGAAGATGATTGGTTGCACACCATTGTTCGTCCATTAATTTTTACAATTCTTTCTAATGCAGATTTGGTGCTTTCTGGCAAACTAGTTGTATATGATGTAGCAAATCAGACCATTGGATGGACTGACTATAATTGTGAGTATCTTTTATATTTCAATGAAATATCTGCATGGTGCTGAAAATCTTTTCTTCAGTATGTAATTAGGATGCTCTCTTTGTATTTTTAAGAACCAACCTTTTCTCTACTGGGTTGTATCTTGAACCATGGGATGTGTTGCTATATTGATGGTGGATGCTTGGTCTTCAATGCTATTTGTGTAGATGCTTGTCTTCTACTCTTTTGCTCTTCCATGGACATGCGTCTAATTGCTCACCTACTTTTATGGTTAATCTTAAAGCATGAATGCAAGGCTCAAGAACCATTTACGACGCCAAGTAATTGCAACATTTTTAGAAAAATAATGATATTTAATCAAAGAAATACTTGTACCTTTGATATTAACAAATGTTACCTTGTGGGGTTTCCTCTAACAGACTTATGTACCAGAACTTAGCGAGTGCTTAGCGTACACATGCATTCAAGTACATATAGATCATAAAATCTATGAACTTTATTTAGCAGTTGCTCCATTTTGATTACAGTGAAGGTGTTATTACGAATGTGAAACTTTGGAAAAGGGAGCTTAAGCATAGTTATTTAGAAGCAATTAACCTAGTTCTTCTTTTCAAGAGGAAACCAATCAGGGTAGAAACCGCTGCATCTTTCAGCCGATTTTCCCATCTCCAGATCATTGAAAATTGCACTATATATAAATCATGTCTGCCTGTATGTTGCTTAACATTATGCAATAACTCGGTCCTGGAACTTCGAGCAAGTCTAGACACATCTTGTTATTAACAGTAGTGTGTCCACATGCTGTTCTCTGTCATAGCCAGCTCAGTTATTATAAGAGCACACAGTTTATTGTCAGATATTGATTTACATATATGTTGTTACGGTTGCTTTCAGGCTCTTCAAGCATCAAAGTGAAGGACGAAAAAACCGGCACAGTATATTCTGTTGGCTCTCACAATCTTTCTTCAGCTATAGGTTTGAAAGTTGGAAATTTTTTAACGTTATTGACAATATTGTTTGCTTTGCTGCAAATTTTTTGTGTACATTAGCTTTTGCATCAATGTGGTACAGCATTTTCTAATTTGTTGTTCCATAGTTAACAAAAACAGGAAGGTTGCTCGATATAATTTATTCTTGAATACAAGCCATGAATTGATTTTTTTTAATCCGTTGTTTCTAATTACTCTGGTCAATAAAGTGTTTAATTTGGATTTATGTTTTATACGTTATCTTGGGCGATGATTTTCCTGTCTTCTTTCAGAAATATTTGTCTTCCATCGGAAGATTTAAACATGTTCTTAGTTTTATGGATAAGTAGTTACCGCGATGAGTTGTAGGGTTTAATAGTAGTCCTTAGTTCTCGAGTTCTCGGTATACATGCAAGTAGTGAGCTCAAGAGGATTTTTTAGTCGAAAAGGAAAAAATGTTGCTGATTTGAGGATGATTTGTTAAGGCCTTTACCATATTTTGATAGGTTATTGTTAACGTACTAGAGGAAACGTTACTTTGCTACTGTCATAATAGCGTTTTCGTTTTTATTGAGTGATTTCAAGACCATTTGGCTCAATATGGAATTGAGAACAATGAAGTTGTAATAGAAAATATCTCTTATTATAAGTTCTGGGCTAATTTCAGACTTTTTTTTTTTTCGAAGTGTATTTGGTACTTATTGGAAATACTTTGTTGTTTAATGCCCTGATTGTTTATGGATCGTGATTTAATCAACTTTCGGATCATAATCCAATGGTTCGTATGAGATATCGACACTTTCTTGACATCATAGGTTTCATATGGGGTAACTTACTTTCTTCGTTTCGAAAGACGTAAAAATCTCCTGTTGAATCATAATCCAAAGATTCATATGAGATAACGTCACTTTCATGGCATAGTAGGTTTCATATGGGGTAACATTACTTTCCTAGTTTCGGAAGACGATAAAAATCTCCTCTTGGATCATAATCTATAGGTTTGCAACGTAACTTTCTTGGTATTTTAGGTTTAATATTGGGTAATGTTACTAACCTGGTTTCGAAAGATATAAAAATCTCCTCTTGGATTATGATCCAAGGGTTCATATGAGATAACGTCACTTTCTTGACATCATGTAGTAGCATTACTTTCTTGATCTTGAAAGATGATAAAAATTCCCTTTAAAATTATGAAAATTGTAGGTTTCAAATGGGGTAACGCTACTTTCCTAGTGTTCATATGAGATGACATCACTTTCATGGCATCGTAGGTTTCTTTTGGGGTATCATTACCTTTCAAAACTTTCCTGACTTTGAAAGACGATAAAGTTTCTTTTAAAATTATGAAAATCATAGTTCGAAATCTCTCTTAAAATATCACAAAATAAAAATCTACCATATTTGTGATATCTATTCATATTTTTTTTATTTTTTATTTTATTTTATGACCAATGGTGTTTGAACCAGTTTATGTGCATCTCAACTAATCCCCTTGACCTTGGAATTAATTTCAGTGACTATTCATATTAGCAACCGAGGAGAGACTCGAATTTAAGACCTCTTGAGTAATACTTTCAAAAGTTCCTATCGAACTATTCAGTCACCCGGAGATAGCTAGATGTCCATTCATCTTTCAAATGAACCTCCAACTGTCGAAACATCTTTGAATAAAATGCTCATTAGCTTACAAACTAGAACTCAAAAAATTGAGAGAAGTAATTACAAATAAAAACTATATATTTCATACCCAGATTTCCACACCACCTACCAACAGAAAAAAAAAATTGATGTGATTATAAAGATATACTCAAAATCTTACAATTATTAACTAATATGTAATATATGATAATTACAATTATAACTGCAATTACATAGCCAAGAAGCAGGCAGGTTTCACAAAGTTGTCCTCAGGAACTGTACAACAAAATAGAGGATTGCCAAAAACAGAGCAATCTGGTACAAATCTCCCTGGAAGTTGTCATCTCTTTGGAAGAACTGAAAAAATAGCAAGTAAAAATGCATGAAGTTAATTGACAATGAAAGAATATAATTTAACTTCGAAGACAAATTTTAGATGCACGGTGTTAGGATCCCACATTAGAAAGGAATGGGTTAAGTGGTTTATAAGGATTTGAATACTCTCTTTTGGCAAGTCGGTTTACCAAGATGAGTTCTACACAACCACCTAAGCCCTTGACTCAAGGTTTAGGCTTAGGTTCCTATCAATTAGTATCGGAGCCAAACCCCACCCGAGCCCACATTTTGGAAGGGGCGACCTGAGAGAGGGCTACTATTGAAAGATTTCGGAAGGGGCGACCTGGGAGAGGGTTACTACTGAAAGGCAGTAAGTGAAGCTGTCTAGAGAAGGCCACCCAGCGTGAAGCCGTCCAGAGTGTGCCAACATGGACGTTGGGTCTTGAAGCGTGGGAAAATGTTAGGATCCCACATTGAAAAAGAATGAGAGGGTTAAGTGATTAATTTTAGTTCGTGGCGTTAGAACTAAACAGTTACACATGATTGTTTGACACTATACTCTTAAAAACATTTGCTTGGACAATTCCATCTCTGTCTATCAAAACAACCAGAAATGTTTCAAAAAAAGTAGCACGACATAGTACAAAAAAGTTTACTCCCTTTTTTTTTATCTCTAAAGATAAAAGAGTATCCGTTCATGTTATTCATTGAACCTGAACCAAAGCAGAACTTTCAGGATAGTTTCAAGCATAAACTCACCTTTGTAGGATCACCAGAAGGGTCAGGATAAATCTCCAAGTTCTCTTGTGCTGTTGAAATTCGGCTTTTCAAGTTCTTGATAAGATCGGCAAGATCTTTTCCGGCCTCAGTAGTGGCGTATAAACGCCGCGACGCCCAAAAAAATGATTGAGCGAGAGGGGATGAAGCTGACAAATCCCAGATTTCTTCATGCTCAATCACCTGCCCACTGATCTGGTTTAAAGTGAACTTGGAATTGATTTTTACTATCAAATCTCCTCCCACATTCGCGATAAACGATTTCGGTTTCCCCCTTATCGTCCACTTGATACTCAGGACACTAGTCGATAACATTACCATTTCCTGCACAGTCTGCATCAACAAGAACAAAAATGACACACAAATTCAAACTAAATAAGAACATGAACAATCAATTCTAATGTGAAATTCTCAATCATTCAGGTTCTGTTTACTGTCGTTTTCATTTTCCACTTTCAAATTGAATAATGTTGAGATTGAATGAACGCACAAGCAATGAAGATCAATTGAATAGATGAGCAATGAAGAACAAAGTAATAGTTGTTTTCTCACCACAGAAGGATTCTCCAGAGCACTTGTTATCCACAAGGGTCTTTTGTATTTCTCCCTGCCACTAAAACTTCTGACAGGATCCTGCAATTACTACCAAAACATGAGATTTAACAGCAAATGAAGAAGAAACAAAAATTAATAGCCACATAACTATTCTGATTCGATGGAAGTTGAACATTCAAAGAATTTTTCCATAGGGTAACTCGAGAATTTATCTTTTCTTAAATTATGATCCGAAAAAAGAAAAAAAGAATCGAATAATCGTTTTACCTAATTAAAAAGTAATTATACATCATTCTCATAACGGTGGCAGCTTCGGATAGATCATATACTAATTCTCTTTCTTCTATAAGACTTTCCATTAATTATTAGTTTGGTGTCGTCCTGCATTCGTGCTACACTAAAACAGTTTCGTTGTGCAGGAAGAAACTGAAAGTACCTTGTACTTCACAGAAACTGCATAGGTTCCGAGGGAGCGATTGCCCTCGCGAAGCTCAAGGATGTCGCGAACAAGTTGTCTTGCTGTGGATTCTACTAAGGGACTGCTAATGCATTCAAACTCATTGCAAAGCTCACCAAAATCCATTCCATCAACAATCTTATCAGCTTCAGATTTTTGCATTGTACGTTCAGGAGACAATTCAGTCCTCTTTGATTCATTTTTAACTGGAAAAAACAAAAAAGTAAAAGAAAAAAAAACAATAAATAGAATTTTTTTTAACCAATTTCGTTAAATTTATCTAGAATTACGGCTTTCGTAGAGAGTTCGCATTAAAATTTTTTTTTTAAAAAAAAAAAAAAAAATATATGAAAATAAGAGCGTATGAAATTTACCTCGTAGTAAAAAAGGGTGATGACGGCGGCGGCGGCAGCGACGATGATATGGGGTGGTAAAAGGGTTGGAGGTGAAAATGCTTTTACTGCAGCGGCCAACGATGGCGACCGGCGCCACCGGTGAAGGCGTTGTGGTGAGAGCAGAGGAAATAGAAGCACTCATGTCTTAGTGTTTCCATAATTGAGGTACGTACTACTACAAAGCATGTGGTATGAACTTTGAGTTTTTGTGATTTGCAATTTTTTGCGCTTTATTTTGGATAAGGTTTGAGCCCATGCGCACCACTTATTTTTGTTTCCAAACTTAGATTTTTGCCACTTGAGATGAGATGAGATGAGATCCACCAGGTAATAATATCCAATAAGTAAACTTATTTATTTTACAAACCCTCAAAAATTAGGGTGAATTACCTTAGACCCCTTGAGGTTTACCTTAATCGTAGTTCGGTAGAAAAAATACACGAGTTTTGTACAAAAAATTTCAGGTGCGGACCTATTGATTTATTAAAATTCGGATGTTTATTCTTTGAGTAATACACAATGCAAATTATATTCCAAAATTCATATCTCAAATGATGTGTCATGTTTTTTAGTATTGTTATGTCATTTTGCTAATCATCATTTTATTAACATCTCAACACTACATAGCTTTGTTCTGAAACTCGGCCTCGTCTAGTTGGTTTAATCAGTCAGACCGAGACCCGACGCCTTCTCTGGGTTGGGTTACCACTTTCAACTGTCCTAAAATCCCTAACTTGATTGCCAGTGAACCAGGGGCTACCAAGTGTTGTGGTTACAAGAGTCTTGTAAAGTGGAGGTCTAGTTCAAGGGGTGGTGTCAGATTGAATTTTGGACACTAGAATTAGCCAGAATTTGGTCAGAAAAATCAAGGTATAAGTGAGTCACTATCGATGAACAGGGGGCTACCAAGTGCTAAGGTTTTATAGAGTGGAGGCTAGTGGTTTGGGTTGTGGTGTC